GAACCAGAACCCTATGGTAACTGCCAAAACCAACTCTTCATATGACCTGCTGCCCCAGTTTCAGAAATTTCATTTTAATCCCTGAGGTTTTATAACATTGTAATTTTACCCCAAAACTTCTTTAACTTTGCACTTTAGTCCCCAATCTGTTTGCCCGTGCAGGAATTTGAATTTTTGGCTGGATTTTATTTTTCATTAATTACTCAAATCATCAATCTTGCTCCCATAAGTTGCTCTTTTGTCTTGATTTCAATCCAAAACTTCAACAATTCCTCCATTTGAGTACAATTTTTACAAATAAAGATAAAATCATATAAATAGCTTATTTATACTCAAAATATATTGCAAAAGTCACAAATTAAGGATATAATAAATAGGTAAAATATAAATATATCAAATACCCCCAAACTTAAATTATTACTTGTCCTCAAACATGACCAAGAATTAAAACAAACAAAAAATATTTAATTATTTAATTTAGCGGCCTCAGAGATTTACTATCATATAACACAAAGACCTCGACTAACTCTAGTATGGACTACCCAACAATATGCAAACCATATGCACTTTCAGCTCCCACGGTTGTGTTTGTGTGCGATTCGTTTCTTAGGGACATCACTTTAAATTCAACATAGAAAACAAAAGCTCTACTGCAAATATGCCAAATAATAACACTTTAACACAGATTCACATTTCTTACCATATTTCAATGCAATGGACCACCAGACATCCTATGAAGTAGAAGGACTTATCTCACAGACAACCTATTCCCCCTCGTAACCCATTCTTCGGTCCATGCGACTTTTCTTCAGGGACTCTTTCCAACTCAGGCCACTACCCAGAGCATTTTTCCACTCTTATACATAGTGGCTCAGCAACTTACGGCAGTCTATACATCTATTTTTCTCACCGGGCCTGAGGACTCTCCGCTCAGGTTGCCAATTCCTCACCTCTCAAGGGGCTAGCATCAACATTGAATGCTCTTCCTTTTCCCCTCATTAAAATTAACCTAACCTCAGAAACATCCGCCAACACCCCTCCCCCAAACTTACTTAACACAAAGTGTCAAAGTAATAAGGTTTTTTAAGGCTGATATTGGGTTAATGCTTTGCTTTTCCTTCACAACATGATGGGTTCCACATACAAATCATATAAGTATGAGTGAATCCAACACAACTTTCATGGCATATCTACATCAAACTCATGCAACTATGTCTCACTTTAGGCTTATCCCACAGTCACGACTAAGTGCATAAAAAGCAGTGTATTCAAAGTAACATATAGAAATACATAAGTTAAGCAATACAATTCAAAATAGTCTAATTCTTACATATTGTAGATAATTAAACCATCTTCACCATAGGCCTTTTTTTATTGTATGGATTTTTTATTTATTAATTTTTTAAATGATAATAAACACAAAACACACCAAACACAAAACACAATTTCCTCTCCCCCACGCTTAAAGTATACATTGCCCTCAATGTATAAAACACAAAAGACAAAGCAACTAAGTGAAAAGAAAAGAAAAGACATAAACAAAAAGAATGAAAAGAAACGACACAACCTTGGAATGTGAAGCAGAGGATCGGAATTATTGAAGTTGAAGAATAAAGAGATCTGTTACTTAACCATCCAAGCATTTTCCATCACCATTTGTTCTAGAGAGTAGCTGCCACACATAAACAAAAATAAAGGTAAATTTTATCAGGTAGATGATTAAGAAAAACCACGAAAAATTTAGAAATCAAAGATTTCCAAATAATCAGGAACAAAAAACTCAACCATCACTTATTTATGAAAAATAAAATAAAATAAAGCAAAATAAAATAAAATGTTGGGTTGTCTCCCAATAAGCGCTGTTTTAAAGTCTTTAGCCGGACTCCATGGCCAATCAGTCAGAGTACCCATCTCGATACCAGAAGAAACCATGTTCAGCAGCAATAATGAATCTCTTGTAGTGGTTCTCCTTTCCATGAGAAAATATAAACTTATACTCCAACACTACAACATCCTCTTTCTCAAATTCAATCTTGTACCATTGATCCTCTTCTTGGTCTTTCATTGAACCATTTTTTACATCATCCTCACTATCTCTTATACTAGGGACAACTTCACCAGATGTGTCTACTTCAAACCCTTCTTTTGAAACTATAGGAGTGCTCTGCTCAGTGAAATCAACTTGATCTACATCCTTGTCACCAACTCTCAGAATGAGCGAATCATGCTTAACGACTATGTATATACCAGAAGAATCAGGAGAACTTGGAATATCTTGACTGTTAATCTCTTCGGTCTCTTCTAATTCTTCACATTCAAGCTCAGTTTGAGATGGTGGCTGGGGAGACTGGACCAATGAATCATCTTCAAAAATCTTCTCATTCTTATTCAATTTAAGCAAATTTCCTATAGGATCATATTCCGACAACCCCACACTCAACCTATATTGATTGACCTCTTTGATAAGTTGTTGGCCTTTTTCACTTTGAAAATCTCGAAGAACTGCCTCTCTAACAGTAAGTTGAGGTTGAGCAGGTGGCTGTTGATACGAAGATGCTAACTCTCTTAGAGTGGGTTGACGAGCTGCTAACTCTCTTAGAGTGGGTTGAGGAGGTGGTGGTTAATATACTGATACATTTGAGTGGTAACAATTCTCTTGAGAGAGATATGAAACATTTTTCTTCTCCATGTCATCCAGCAATTTATCAATTCTCTCCAAACATGACAACATTCTAGGAGTCATATACTCGCCCTCAAAACAAGAATTGTACCCAGCATCAAATGAATACCCTTGATAATCACAACCATAGTAAGGATCAGAAGACGAATTGTTCCAAGAATAAGGATCTTCTTGATATGTAGGATAGTCTCCATATTCAGAATTATAACTATAATACGGAGCATCTCCAGATCCATAGTTATAATTCTCCATGACCAAAATCCTATAAAAATATTGACACAAGAAAGAAAAGAGAATAAAAATAAAAATAAAAATAAAATAAAATAAAATAAAATTAAAAATTAATAAAACAAAGAAAAATATATACAAATCTAAATTAATAAAAGAAATAATCTAGTTTTGATATTGGTAATGCCTTCCCTGGCAACGGCGCCAAATTTGACAAGCCGTCGTCACACTAGTCAAATATTAATTACCTACTTAATATAATTACTAGCAATAAAGCAGAAAGCAGGGTCGATCCCACAGAGAAGGTTACCAAGTACCGGTTAAAATTATTTCTTATTATTATTTAGATTAACAATTTATCAATTTTAAACTATTCTAAACCTAAAACTAATAATTACAATTAATTTAAGATTTTACACAAATAAAAGAAAACCCAGGACAAAGGGTTCACCTACCGACTACTCAATTTAACTAAACTTATACATATGTGACTTTGGACTTTCATTAATCTAACAACGATTCACCTATTTAAGAACTATTCACTGTCGTGATATAATTCTCTTACTCAAACTAACCCTATGACTACTGTCGTGACTATAGGGATTAATAAAAGCACATTAAAAACTTTAGAATCTCTAGCTGCAAAGACGGTGCTCCTACTGTCGTGGCTCACTACCTAAGTTTAATATTCCCATGAACTAATGTTAACCTTCAACCGTCGTTCCTTCAGTTAAACACCTTTAAAGCATGCAAGTGGTGATCAAATACTCACATGTAATAAAAACAAGAATATTAAATATCAGCTAATGAAAAAGTCACAATCATGAATTAAATTAAATTAAATAGTACGACGGCTACATCCAAAACCCTAGATTAAATAATTTATATACACATCATCTCAAAAATCAAAATAAATAAAAACCAAAAAACCCGGGACGAAAGATCAAATTAAATGCTGCCCGGCTTCCTCCGATGATGCGTGAAGTTGGTGTTGATGGGGTGATGGAGGCGTGGAGGTGGAGAAGGGTTTGGAGGGAGTTTTGTGTGTAGCGTGGGGATGGAGGGCTGATGGCTGGTGTTGAGTGGGGTGGGCAAGAAGGAGAAAGGTGGAGTGCGGCGGGGGAGTCGGTGGAGTTGGATGAAGGTGGAGAGGTGGTGGTTTGGTGCATGGGTTTTGTGGGGTGTGGGTTCTCTCCCAAAAAATAATCAAAATCATCCTTTATATAATTGGCTGCAAAAGTCAGAACCAGAACCCTATGGAAACTGCCAAAACCGACTCTTCATATGACCTGCTGCCCAAGTTTCACAATTTCATTTTAATCCCTGAGGTTTTATAAAATTGTAATTTTATCCCAAAACTTCTTTAACTTTGCACTTTAGTCCCCAATCTGTTTGCCCGTGCAGGAATTTGAGTTTTTGGCTGGATTTTATTTTTCATTAATTACTCAAATCATCAATCTTGCTCCCATAAGTTGCTCTTTTGTCTTGATTTCAATCCAAAACTTCAACAATTCCTCCATTTGAGTACAATTTTTACAAATAAAGATAAAATCATATAAAAAACTTATTTATACTCAAAATATATTGCAAAAGTCTCAAATTAAGGATATAATAAATAGGTAAAATATAAACATATCAGAATACATATCGTTGTTGCTGACAAGTCTTTTATAAAAGGGAAAACTTCATCGTTTCATTCAGAGCTCTTTAATTAAGCCCATCCCCATTGTATCAAGTAGTTTCAATGCCCAAGTAACGCATGATTTTCTGCTCGATCAATTTGTAGCAAATAAATGACAAGGCATCACAAAAGATTTCGTTTTGCCTTGTTTTGAAGTATTATGAACTGATCAAATTTCACTAACACAGTTAACGTATTTATTGCCCCACACTTCAGCCCCTCCATATTGCCAACTTTAAATTTGATCAATTATAATGTAACTCTTCTGTCTTTCCCTATGCCCTTTTTTGATTAGCCATCACTTCACTTTTATCTAATATTCAATATTACACTGTCCTTTTCCTCTCCCCTCTATCACTATAAATTTCACCACAAATTCCTCATCAACAAATTCAATCATCTCATTTCCAACATCCAAATAAAATGGCTCTGATGAGAAAAAATGTCATGCTTTTGTTTTTCATTTTAAGTTTACTCTTGGCGATTTCGCAAACTTTTTCAGCTAGGGTGTTGAACTCTACTTATGATGATGTGTTTGAAGGTGTTGGTGATGGTATAAGTACTAATGGAGGAAGTTCAACAACAACGTCATCACTTGAGTGTTGGGATGCGCTTTCGGAGGTTACATCGTGCTCGGACAAGATCTATGCGTACTTCACCGGCGGCAAAGCCGACATCGGCCCTTACTGTTGCCGTGCCATTAACGTGATTACACATAATTGTTGGCCAGCAATATTGACAGCGCTTGGTTTCTCAACTGACCAGACTTTTGTCCTGCGAGGGTATTGCGATGCATCATCTCCAAACGATGTCGTTGCCGCAGGACCCGCTGAAGGACCATCGTCAGCGTGATCTTTTCATGATCGTTGTTTGATCGTGATGATTTCCACTATAATAAGATCAGCTAGTTAAATGTGTAGCTTGCAATATTTCTTTTTCTTTGTTTTGATGGATCCCTAAATATCTTGTGGTGTTTTAAGTAGTTCCGTTTGGGTTGGCCACTTACTGAGTGTTGAATGTTTGATTTTGAATTAACGTACGTCTTTAAAATGGGTTTTTTCATGTACGTACTATAGAACATCATTGCAAATCTACTTTACTTACGTACCCAGTTTGTTATATTTGCGTATAAACAACTATCGACTCACGTTTTAATTAAATTTATAATAATAATAATAATAATAATAATAATAATAATAATAATAATAAAATCGAATCCCTTAAGGCTATGAAACGCACGAATTAATATCACCAGTCACCAGCCATTCGAATTCCAAATATTTCCTAGCATACGTACAGATGGGGAAAGTTGCAAGAACTGTAAAGTAGACACTAAAGTTGAGGCGATGAATACATAATACATTATCTTTAAATAAATAAATAAATAATTTAACATCAAAAAAGTTTTTCTAAAAATAAATAAAAATGGTACTAGTATCATAGTATGAAGGCACAGTATCATCATTCTTAATATATCAGTTGAATGGTCCCTCAATTATAATCTCGTACCTCAATCTGTATTCACCGTAGGGGAAAACGACTCAACAAATGAATTTGAATGAGTAATGATATTTCACTCCACTTTTTTTAACCCTACTCACATGACAATCTAGTTGGTTTATTTACATCAATATAGAAATTTGTAATAAAATTAATTAAAAAATGAAAATGAAAACTCATCATGACTTTATAATTTATTTTATTTTTTACTTCACAAACGCAATGCCATATCAAATCCTCCCCTTGCCTACTTCTTCTTCCCGTTGATGGCTGGAAGCTGGTCTTCGGTCTGCGGTGCCGCACCGATTGCGTGTGAGGTTCCAGAAACCTTAAGAGACTGCACCAAGTTTAGGTCATTTTTATGGTTCTGTATCAAAATTACGTCAGTCTTTTTCTTGGTTTGGTTCTTTACTCCAAAAGATGAGTCTGTGCGCTCTATTTAATCATCTTCGGATTGTTAGCACAAAGAAAAAATTATTCTAAGGCTCTAAAGCATGTATTGTGGCAGTGAATTGTAGAAATACAGGTTTTCTTGGCTCTTACGTTTGTATCAGCTTTTTGGTCATTCACATATCAACAAGTAGAAATTGTAGTAGAATTTCGCGCTAAGCAACACATGCCTAGGAAATTGATAGGAGGGTTTAGAGAATTAGTATTGTTTAGATTTAAAAGGGGTCAATATTCACCATTCACTATTCTTCCATTCAAAATTTCTTGGTTTTTTTTTTTTTTTCATATTCATGTCTCTTAGGCCGTCAAAAGCAATAACTCTTCAACGATTAATAGTTATTAAAAGAGGCTTTTTACGCTTGGATCAATTAAGATCTATTTGGATAACTTTTTTTTGTGTGATTTTGGCTTGTTTGATTAGAAATGAATGATAACTTAAAAAAGTGGGTTCAAATTTGTGCAACTAATTACAATGCAACTAAACAGAATCAGTTTTGGGCATGTTACCATGATTCGGTAATCCTAATTTTAAAATGTCTTGGTCTTCATAGCAAATCCTGTTTAGCATTTACATGAACTCATGAGTGTCAAATTAAGTTTGTTTATTTGATCATTTGATGCGTGGGGCATGCGACTCAAGTCTTGCCATTTTGATTAGGATCCTATATGTAGACAATATTAGTGCAATATTTGATTCCATGGTTTGCAAGGTTTACTTGAAATTTGTTAAGATCAATCGTTTTATTTGTTGCTTGAGAGAGCCTTAAAATGGGCTTGTTTTCCAGCTAGTGATTTTGGCATGAAGGGGATCATACTTATAGATTGTTTGGTCACTCTGGTGTTTTTTGAAAATAGTACCTATATATTAATTAGAAATACCTAAACTATTACAACGACATGTATTATATGCTAGATTATATAAGTCTCTAACTTCATTCCTACTAACTTTAATCAATTGGCAAAGGTCCCTCTGGTGTGAATTTGTGGGGAATTTTGTTTTATACGCTAAATGGTTTTGCTTTCCAGCAGCTCCATTCAAAAATAGGTCAAATTTTTTAGTTTGGCTTTGCGCAAAGACCCATCGTTTGGAAATTGGAGTCAGGAACCAAACCCCAAAAAAAAAAAAAAACAAAAACGAAAAAAAAAGAAAAAAAGAAAGAAAAAAAAAAAGAAAGACTGACATAATTTTGGATACAGAGAATAAAAACGGCTAAATTTGGTGCGGTCTCTTGAGTCGTCTGGAACTCACACAACCGATATGGCCCCTAGACCGATGACCAGCTACCGGTCGTTGACGGGAAGGAGTGGATAAGGAGAGGATTTGATACCCCGTTGTGTTTGTGAAGTTTAAAATTAAAAAAAAAAACAAAAAAAAAAAGACAGACACAAAAAAATCATGAAGTTATGATGAATTCTGATTTTCATTGTTCAATTGAATTATATTATAAGTTTCTATATTGATTAGGATAAATCAACTAGATTGTTATTTAAGTAGAATTGCTTCCTGAGTTTAAAAGAGAGAGTGGAACATCATTATTCTGAAAGAAATCGCATCGTTTATAGTCAAAACCGACTATCAAGAAATAAAGTTGACAGACAGCGGCAGCATCATTTAGTCAAAATTGAGTACGAAGCTCGTTGACTGAGGTAGAAAAAGCTCAATTTTAAATAGATGATGCGATTGTTGTTTTAAGAACCAGTAAGGATGAAAGTTTGAGCATTAATTTTGACTATTAATTTCTTTTTTCGACATGAAATATTTAAGGCAAATTGAGTACAAGGAAAAAAACCTCTTAACTATGCATCACTATCATCTCATAAAAAACTTGGCGTATACAGTGCACTTTGTCCAAAGAGAGGGTAACGAATCTGATTAATCGTAGTAGTAATTTCGAGTGCATATCTTTGGAGTCCCAAATTGGACCAAAAGCAGGTATTCCAGCTGCTTTACATGCATTCACCACATCCCTACTCCCCTCTGGATTGCTAGTCACGATTACTGCTTCCGCATTCCATTTTTTCCCTGATTCGACACTGAGTTGCGACACATTTGGACGACCTAATACAGCTGTATCATGAACAATGACCGCTTTACCTCCACAGTAAAAATCATTGACCCAATTCTTAATCTTCTTCCCGAAATTTTGCTCAACACCTTTTGTCACCCAAAGTATACAAACATTAGCCCTGGATGGCTGCAACAGAAATTAAAGAAACACACAGATCCCGGATCCAGTGGCAACTAGAAGAACCCGATCATACAAATTTACCAAAGAGGGAAGCCCTGCGAAATGTAATTTTCGGACCCATAATTCTGTTGAGGATTAGAGACTAAGGATTTTGTGAAATCACCCACGGCGCCAGCGAGCATTATATGGTCTTTCTCCCCGTCGGAAATAATTCCGAATGCGTGCCATTCTGACAACGGAGACGGGCTAATTCGTCCCAGAAGGCCGGGTGTAACAACTCCGGTCTGGAATTTGATAACGGACGCTTGGCCGGAAGGGGACAATGAGATTTTGACAGGGACCCGTCTGATTGTTAGCCATGGAATGATTATTTGTACTGTGATTCCGACCGTGAGCCAGAATTCCGGCTGTCTAATCAACCTGGTTCTGATAATGTTACTTCATGATGTCACACGAAATCAGGCAGAAATTTTATCTAAACCAGCAGGACCTATGGTACTAACATAGCAAAATAAAAAGCAAGAAGGACGTTTTAAGCAAATCAAGATGCAAGCCAAGAAAGAGAAAATGAAATTGTATTGTACCAATTGTAAGAAGAGTGGTCATTTGAAGGATGATTGTTTTTTACTTGAATGGTGGGGAACTCATAAGGGGCCAAATCATGCTAGTGCACATACAACAAACCTGGTGGATACTCCTCTTGAGCTAGATGGTGGAAAACAAGCTTTGTGGAATGGAAGATCATCAACAAACACAGCTATACAAAATTGGTCACCATAGTCATCAGGAAATCTACAACTGCAGGAACAGGGAAAAGGAAATTGGCAACACATTCTATCAAATCTGGTTCAGGTAGAAATAGGAAAGATCCTCAAAGGGAAAGGAGCAGCACATGAACCTGGATCAAGATACTGAGTGAACTATTCTCATATCTGATAATAGAACTGAGTTTTTGAGTCTTGAAACTCAGAAACTCTTCTCCCAATTGGGAATAATTCATCAAAAATCTTGTCCTTATACACCACAACAAAATGGATTGGTGGAAAGGAAACATAAATATTTGCTGCAAGTAGCAAGATCTTTGCTACTTCAAGCTTCAATTACAAAAATGTTTTGGGGAGAAGCTATTCCCACGTCAACTTTTTTAATCAACAGATTGCCTTCTTCTGTAATAAGTTGGAAAACTCCTTCTGAGATTCTCTACAATAAGCCACCTTCTTTAGACTACCTCAGAATTTTTGGGTGTCAAGTGTTTGTAGTGAATCATAATGCATAAAAGGATAAGTTTGATCCTAAGTCTATCAAAGGAGTTTCTGTGGGATATCCATCAGGGCTGAAAGGTTATAAAGTTTACAGTCCAGCACTAAGGAAAACCATTATATCTGGAGATGTCATTTTTGACAAGCCGTCGTCACACTAGTCAAATAATATTTACCTACTTAATACAATTACTAGTAGTAAAGTAGCAAGCAGGGTCGATCCCACAGAGAAGGAATACTAATTACCATGTATAAATTACTCCTATTATTATCTAGATAAATGATGATTTCAAATTTATAAAATTTAAAACTAAAATACATAAAATAAAAACAAATAATATTAATTCAAATAATCAGACAAAGAAAACCTAGGACATTAGGTTCATCTACCGAATATTTGGTTTGGTTCAATTCATAAATATCTGACTTTTAACTTCCATTAATCTCACAACGACTCACCTAATTAAGAACTATTCACCATCGTGATATAATTGTCTTACTCTAATTAATACTATGACTACTATCCTGACTATAGGAAATAACTAGAGCACATTAAGAACTTAAGAATCTAACGTTGCAAAGATTGTGTTCCTACTGTCGTGGTTCACTACCTA